TTTAAAACTAAAACGCACTAGTGTAAACGGGGCCTTAGTTTTTTATGACTACACTAGCAGTGGAATTTACTGCAATGTGACCGGGCTTGATCATAATCAAAGGGGCTTGATCAAAGGTTGATCATATTCTCTTCTGAAAAAAGAAGAGTGTCTTTTTCAACAAAAAAATGATCACAGTTACAGCCAGCATCCCACAAAAAGAACCTCGAGACTCATTTTGTGCACATCAAATCGCAAAATCCAAAAAGCCGCACACCATTTATTTTTGACTGCTTTGAATGGATACATTTTTTACCCATTTTTCCATATTAAAATATTATGGTGGGTCTTGAGATTGAATTACTTGCCTAGGTGGGTCCCGGAATAAAAAAGTTTGGGGATCCCTGCTCTAACCAGCAACCTTCTTGCTGTGAGGTGGCAGTGCTAAGCACTGAACCACAGTGCCGCCCTCTGTCTACAGAAGAAACCACTGTTATACAATGACTTGCCAAATTACCCTAACTTTAACCTAATTAACCCTTTAATTGTCACTTTAAGCTGAATACTAGTATCTAGTCAAATATTATGCGCTGTGATCATCATGTTGTGACCCAGGTAAATCAATCCCCACTGTCAAAAACACTAAACATGCATGATTAAAACACGATATAATGTCACGCTTGTGTCATAATGTTTAACCCGCAGATAGAGAGAGGGAGAGAAGAGATGTGATCGACTCTTATCTGTGCAGAAATAAAGCAGTTTGGCTGTAAATCCTGCTGTTTCCGCATCCAGAGCCCGTGATGTTTCCTGAAAGCTCCTTCCTCATGCTGTCGGCCCTGATTTACACACACTTCAGCACTGTGGCCGATTCACTAAACCAGCTTTCACAATCACACAGCCGTATCAGCAGGGGGCGTAACGCAGATAAATCTACACACAGACAGACTCAAGGCTGTTTCTCATTTCCAAGCAATGCAGAAAACACACTTGAACTCTCATTCTGCAACATGTGTGGACATACAGAAGAACGGAGTGTTGTGTGTTCTCAATATGCGTTCTTGTGTCCTCGTGAAACGTCATCAACCGTTGCCGAAGTACTGTTCCAATTCAAAGTTCACATCATGCTAAGTACAGATAAAATTCTCGTATGTGTACTTGCTTTGCCCTTTTGGCCAAGGATGCTTCTAGAGGTGACTTGTGCGAACTTGCAATGCTCAGGTATCCCAGAATGCATTGCAGTCAGGCCTGGATTGACCAATCGGGAGGACCGGGAGAGTTTCCGGTGTGCCGTTACATTTTTTGGCAGCGAGGGCCGGTGTTTCTAGCTGCTTGCACTCTTAGCAGTCGCACTTTTTTTTTTTTTCATTTATTTATTTGACCATAGCCTCAATCTTTTTATTCATTATTTTGCCACAGCTCCGCTCTTCTTATTTATTGTCTCGCAGCCCCATGAGTAAAATGCAGCCTGGAGAGTACTGATGATGTAACTATCATTCCGGCCACACAAGCGTGACAGCGCCATTGTGGTCCAGTGGTCAGCACGTTGCGTTTTGACATCGTCGATCCGTGTTCGATCCTCACCTGAGTAATTCTTTTTTATAATAGGGCTGCTTATACTGAATACTTTGACATAATTATGGTCACTCAAAATGTTCATTAAAAATTTGTCAATATGTAAAAACCGAAGTGGCTTTTCTGAAGTGTTTAATCAAACATTTGTTAGTTCAATCTATAGACTCTAACACTCTAATCATATATTTCATTGTCGAATAAACTACTTACAGGTGTCCTAACTGCTATATAACCTTACCCTGCTAAACTGCTTGACCCCGTTAATTGCTGCTTGCAGCTATATTTTTCATTTTTATTGTTAAGACATATAAAACTTATAAATCTGAAGTTCTAAAGCAGCTGTTTTCTTGAAAAAGACGTGATAGTGTCATTAGAAAGTGATTTGGAAATGACCTTATTTTAATTTAGTCAGTCGTGAACTGAGGTGGGCCGGTCTAATGCTTGAAACTCCAGGGCTGAAAAGGAGTCCCACTCCGGCTTTGATTGCAGTGTAAACATACTCCTTTACTGTGTCACAATATAAAGTTTTAACAGTTTCAGGCGAGAATGTAGTTGTTATAAACTTATATCTGCAGTTTATTCACAAAGATAGCACATCTTTGGTGATGTGCCTCAGCTTATGCAGACTCTGACTTCCAGCCTGCCAGTGGGAGCTTCATCATCACCTCCCCTGGCGAAAGCAGCTTTACTTCGGCCAGTCCATCTCGGATGTACAGCTGGATCTCACCGGTTGTTAAAACATGATATTTAATACATCTTGTGAATATCTAACAGACAGTTTTTGGTCTTATAAATCTATTATTTGTTATCAGGTGTATTATTTTGGCAGTGTTATTTTATTACCTTTTACTATTGTCCTTAATTATGTTACCCTGTTGTACGCTGTTTGCCTTTGTTTACCAATTTGCTTAACGCTATCTTTATTTCTTATTGTGTACGTTTTGTACTTTATATTCGTATACTGTCCATTGTGGTTTATTAAATCTGATAATCAAAGACACATAATTACTTCATAACCACTTCATAACTAACTCAAAAGACTCAAGACTCAATCTCTTTATTAATTTTTGCGCTTTTCAAACACAGATTTGAATGCAGTGAAGGATTAACCACTTAAACTCTGCTGCTATTTGGGGATTCCGCTTGGATTTTGCTTACCCAAATTTAAAAGCTTCCCAAATCCACATAAAGAGGTGTAAATGCAAAAATTTGGCATCATTTTAAAGAAACCCCTTTGAATTTTCATAAAACACTATTGAAAGTGTTTAAAATAACTGTGTATGTTGTCTGTGTTATAATAAACACCTAAAAAAAGAGGCACTTTTTTTTAATATAAACTCAAATTTGAAAGTGCACCTTTTAGGTTCTGTGTGTTCTAGCGTGCTGTAATTAATGTTGGTGGTTCCAGCACATGTCTGTAATCATAGGAAAAAATAAAAATGTCTCCACCATAATCTATGCAAAAGTTATTGTATTCCAACTGATGAGAGGTGCTGTACAAGCCACAGGGAGTGATCATTGTTTTCATATTTCACTATTCTTTTGTTTGATCAAACATAATTCACTGTGTTTGGACCACGTCAGACATATAAAAGGATTACTTATGCACATCACCTCAAAAACAGAGGAGAATGGCCCTGATGCGCACAGCATAAGGTGAGAGATGAGAGCTGTCTGTGCTATCTGGGGCTGCTTATTGATCATGAATGTATTGTTTACATTTTTGCGCCATGGAAACACCACAATTCATTCAACAACTGTTTGGCATATGAATATAATTCAGTAAAAAGAATGCTAGAACTGTATGAGCACCGGCAAGAGCTTTCATTTGAGCTATAACTTGTACATGTGTCATATGAAAAATATGAAAATGAACCAATGTAAAATACCCAGCTCGGGTATCCAAAATACTGAGTTTTTAAGTGTAAACTTTTATACAGTAGAATAAAAACCAAAGTGATGCATATGTGCATAAAATATAGATTATACACTTTCAAACGACACCACTTACGGGGGTCTGGTGCAATGCTAGCCCTTTAAATCTGAAAGCGAAAGTCGATGACATCGCTGACCCGCGGAGTTTAAGTGGTTTTAATAAACATATGCAAATCTCCATCATTTATAATTGATGTTGAGTGGGTGTTATGATCTTTTAATGATTAATCATGCAGCTTACACTGAATGCGTTAACGCAGGCTAAACAAGTAGTGACAGAAAACACCTTTAATAACCTGAGAAACCCACCACATCCCGAGTAACCCACCACAACTTCTTCTGTCAGCTTTATATTATACAGGAAGGCCTAAATGCTTTCACACATGTCATTTGAATGGTACGAGAGGCGATCTCTCAGCAAATTTCACACATGTAGAATAATCTACAAGTAAAAAATAATGCATTAATCTGCAGGTCACGTGTGTTCCGAACCATATATATATATATATATATATATATATATATATATATATATATATATATATATATACCACGGCTGTATCCAATAATACAAATCGCTGATTTCATCTCAATGTTTAAAAATAAAACAGACTGTTTCCCTTTAACATTCAAAATGACTACATTTCACAGTGTGTTCTTACTGTATGCTTCAATCTCAAGCAAAGATATCTTCACCAAGCAAACATCCTAATGCTCTCTGAATTATGCACTGGAGTGGTCTGATGTGTGTATGCAATCTGACACGGATCTATGAACACAGATGGATGTGCTCAGAAAACGCAGAGCATCTGTCTTCCACTCTGACTAATTCTGACTTAAAATCAATGTCCATTAGGCTGACTCTCAACTCTATGGATGTCTATGGATCGCCTTGATTTTATTTTCGCCTTTAATATGATGCCCTGGTTTTGAAAACCTGGCCCGTTTTAGACAAAAACAAAACACAAGTACAGTTGAAATCAGAATGATTAGTCCTCCTGGTCTTCTATTTCCCCCCAAATTCTGTTTAATGGAGTTTACCATAGCTTTAATAACTGATTTATTTTATCTTTGCTGTGATGACAGCACATGATATTTGACTAGATATTCTTCAAGATACTAGTATTCACCTTAAGTTTACATTGAAAGGCCTAACTAGGTTGATTATGGTTAGGTTAGGGTAATTAGGCAAGTCATTGTATAGCGATGGATTGTTCTGTAGACAATCGAAAACAAATATTGGGGGCTAATAATATTTACCTTAAAATAGGTTTAAAAACTTAAAAAAAATGCCTTTATTCTAGCTGAAATAAAACAAATAAGACTTTTTCCAGAAGAAAAAATATTATAGAAAATACTGTGAAAATTTGTTGAATCTGTTCAACATCATATGGGAAATATTTGATAAAGAAAAAAAGAATTACAGGAGGGCGAATAATTTTGACTTCAACAACTGTAGATGATCATTCCTGGTCTCTCAGACTTCAGCGAATAATGAAAATGAACCTTACCTCAGCTCCAGTCAGGTAAAACGCAGACAGAAGACCACCGACATAACGAATGTTGACCTCAAACAGAGATGCCTCGCCGTTCTGCAGAAAACACACAGCATGAGCATTAGCAATGTAAAAAATATGCTGTGAAAAGAAAATCCAACTTCAACAATGACGCGGTTTTACCAAAGCTTGATTGGTTACAGAGGAACATATAAAAATGGACGTAAATACATCATGTTTATATTTTAAAAACATTTATGGTCTTAAAGAGGACACATATTAAGTCGAATATTCTGTTCTTTTGAAATAATGAAGTACTTTTAATTAGACAATGTAGTTTGTTTACTGTATTTTACTACATTTAAGATGCATACCATCTATTACACAGCTAAACATAACATTTCTTCATAAAACATTAACAAAAATGTGTTTGAAACTGGTCAGATTTCTGTAATAGTAATAAACCAAATATAAAATGTTCAATGATCAACTAGTCCACCCTCGTTTTAAGTCATCAATTGAAGTCACATTTACTTAATTTTACATAACTTTTTCAATTTTCAATCATTAAAAACATTGTAAACTGCCCTGTTTTTAAGTAACCAATCACATTTACGTTATCAAATATTCAATTATCAATTTTCAATCATTAAAAGTCATCAATCACATTTATGTCATCAATTATTCAATTTTCAATCATTAAAAACAATTTTCTCTGCACTCTTTTTTAGTCAATCACATTTGTGTCATCAATTATTCAATCTTCAATTGTTAGACACAATTTACACCCCCTTCAGTAATCAATCAAGTCAAACAATTTAATCCACCCTCTTTTTTAAGTTAATCACAAGTACATCAACAATTATTCAATTTTTAATCGTTTAAAACAATTTACTCTCCCCTCTTGTTAAGTTATTAATCACATTTATGCCATCGATTATTCTATATTTAAGCATAAAAACAGTGCACTGTCCTCATTTTAAAACATCCATCACATTTACGTTCTCAATTATTCAATTATTAACTTTCAATCATTACAAACAATGTACTGCACCCTCATGTAAAGTCATCAATCACATTTTCTTTCAATTATTCAATTTCCAATCATTAAAAACAATGTACTCTGTCCTCTTTTTGAACCATTAATCACATTTCCGTCATCAATTTATTCAGTTATTCTATATTCAATCATTAAAAACTATTTACTCCAACCTCTTTTAATGAAATCAATCACATTTCCGTCCTCAATTATTCAATTAACAATATTCAATCATTGAAAACAATGTACTCAGCCCTCTTTTTAAGCCATCAATGACATTTTTTATCATTTATTAAATTTTCAACCATTAAAAACGATTTACTCCGCCCTCTTTTTAAGTCATCAATCACATTTGTGCTATCACTTATTCAACTCCGCCCTCTTTTAAAGCTGTCAATCGCATTTGTGCTATCACTTATTCAACTCTGCCCTCTTTTAAAGCTGTCAATCACATTTGTGCTATCACTTATTCAACTCCGCCCTCTTTTAAAGCTGTCAATCACATTTGTGCTATCACTTATTTAACTCCGCCCTCTTTTAAAGCTGTCAATCACATTTGTGCTATCACTTATTCAACTCCGCCCTCTTTTAAAGCTGTCAATCACATTTGTGCTATCACTTATTCAACTCTGCCCTCTTTTAAAGCTGTCAATCACATTTGTGCTATCACTTATTCAACTCTGCCCTCTTTTAAAGCTGTCAATCACATTTAAGCCATTGATTAATATTTAGTTCTTTAAATTGCATTCATTAAAGACAATTTACTCCACCTCTTTTTAAGTCATCAATCACATTTACATAATCAATTATTCAATTTTCTGCCATTAAAAACTATATACTCCACCTTCTGTTTAAGTCATAAATCACCTTTACATAATCAATCATTTCATTTTTCATTTTCAATCATTACGAAACATATACTGTACACACTAGACAATATTTATAATGAGAAATATCACACCCACCCATAAACCGAACATCACCTTCATAATAGAAAAGATAGATTGCTCCGAAAAATAACATACTAAAGCATATAATTGATTTCAACATTACCCAAACTGTACAACAATGAACAACCCTACAATTAAAGGGTCACGAAACACCGAAACACATTTTTTGAGCTGTTGACAGTCGTATATGTGTCGCACACTGCTAAAAAAACTATTAGGACACCTATATTTCACCAAAAAGTAAATTTTATTTTTTTTTGCGTTATTTCGAGCAAATTCGCACTTCCGGTTTGAAACGAATTTTTGAAGCTGCGTCACGGCCATGAGATTTTAGCGTGTATTCCAGGTTTTTTTTTCTTATACGACGTGCAGTATCAAATATTACACTGCATTAAACACAGTCACTGTCTTTCTCCCCTGCGTCTGTGTTTGTCTTGCCTTGGTGAAAATCAGCACGTGCCCAGTCGTATATGTGCCCCACACTGCTAAAAATACTATTAGGACGCCTATATTTCACTAAAAAGTGTAAATTGGTTGTTTTTGCGTTATTTCAAGCAAATTCGTACTTCCGGTTTAAAACTAATTTTTGAAGCTGCGTCACGGTCATGACATAATAGCGTGTATTCCAGCGTGCAGACTGGACGTCTGTGCCAGAGTATGTCTTATTACGTCTTACAGTGTGCTGCATTAATGCATGAGTAAGGCTTGGTTCAAACCAATCAGCTCGCTCTATTGTGCAACTTCATTAATATTCATTACTGTCACAGTGTTTAGACGACAGAGACGCCACGTTGTGTTGGCAAAACAAGTGTGAAGTGTTGCTTTTATAGTTGGCTGGAGTGAAGTTTGGTTTTCATTTTCTCTCTAAACGCTGAGATCCGGATTCGCTTTAGTCTCCTCTTAATAAAGACGCGGCTCTAGTTGCTGGGGATTGTCCTGTCTCTACAGATTTGGTAAGTGAGCGACCAGTGCTCTTTGTTTATTCAGTTTGTTCGTATCGAACTAAGTTAACTATTGCACTATTTTTTTATAGCATATTTTGCTATAAAAAATAAACATTTTGCACAAATGAATGAATGAATGAATACAGAAATATTTTGCATCAACAATTAAATAAATAAATACATATTTTGCATAAATAAATATTTTGCTAAAAATAAAGAAATAAATATATATTTTGCATCAATAAATAAATATTTTCATGAATGTATAAATATATATATATATATATGTGTGTGTGTGTGTGTGTGTGTGTGTGTGTGTGTGTGTGTGTGTGTGTGTGTGTGTGTGTTTTGACTCTGAAACTCAGCGCGCCCAAATAGACACTCCCACACCAAGCCTCTTTTCTTCCTCCGACACTCCCTCCTAAACAGAGCTGGACACGCCCACTTTTCTGACTTTTTCCAAAGTAGAGGTGTGAAAACACTCTGCTGAAACGGGGGGTTTCATGGCCCTTTAAATGTGAGAAAGATGGCAGAACACAACTCAACCATTGCTGTTCCGGCACAATACAAATGTCCCTAAAGGAATAAATAAATAAATACTAGAAAGTAAAGTGCATTCTCCACCTCAAAGAGTGATTTTTGGGACGTGTCCGGCCATGACCTCTGGCTGTATCGCTCAGGCACTCGTTTTCAACACATTTTCTTACACAATGTTTTCCTGACGCAGAGAAACTGCCAGAATTTCGATGTCCAAGGCCGAGGAGCAGAGCATTATTAGACACTTTTTTTTTTTCAGATGGTGGGGGTCAGAGCATGCTATTGATTTATGAGGAGTGTGTGAATAACAGCAGTAGAGCAGAATGAACTCTTCTCAGCACTATGAATTGTTTTCTCAACTGCAGTTGTGTTTGCTTTGTCTGACTTAATATGATTATATTTAAAATCACCCTGTAAACCCTGTAGAGTGCAATAAGGTGTAAACACACACATCAAATCACACACACACACACATGCATGCATACACACACGCACATACACATATGAAAACACACACACATACATACACATGCAAACATACACGCAAACATACACACACACACATGCGAGCACACTTAAATGCATACACACTTAAATGCATACACACACACACACAAGCACGCACACACAGACAGACAGACACAAACACACATGCATACATACATGCAAACACATAAACATGCACACAAACAGACACACACACATGCATACATACACGCAAACATACACACACACACATGCGAGCACACTTAAATGCATACACACTTAAATGCATACACACACACACACAAGCACGCACACACAGACAGACAGACACAAACACACATGCATACATACATGCAAACACATAAACATGCACACAAACAGACACACACACATGCATACATACACGCAAACATACACACACACACATGCGAGCACACTTAAATGCATACACACTTAAATGCATACACACACACACACAAGCACGCACACACAGACAGACAGACACAAACACACATGCATACATACATGCAAACACATAAACATGCACACAAACAGACACACACACATGCATACATACATGCAAGCACACATACACACATGACATGCAAATACCTACGCCCACGCACGCACACACACACACGCATGCAAACACGCGAGCACATGCGTGAACACCCACATGCAAACACAAACACACACATGCAAACACACACACATGCATACACACATGCACACAAACATATGCAAACACACACACACACAAAAAAGACACACAGTCCCTGTCACATGCAAACAGACATGCAAGCACACACACAGACACAAATACATATGCATTCACACACAAGCACACACACATGCAAACACACGCAAACAAGCAAACACACACTCACACACCTATATAAATACACACACACACACACACACACACACACACACACACACACACATATATCTTAAGAGATAAAGAGAGGAAACACACACAAAACTTCAGTGCCGAACAGAGGAGTGCAATCCTAAAGCACACACACACAGTCATGCACGCACGCACATGCACACACACCCAGACACACACACACACAAAACACACACAAAACACAGACACACACCCACACACACACACACACATACGCTCGCGCGCCCACA